TTTTTTTTTTTTTTTTTTTTTTTTTTTTTTTTTTTTTTTTTTTTTTTCAGGAGCCAGAGCTTTATGAAGATCTCATTGGAATCCAGCAGATGATTAATGTGAAGATTTGGTAGGAAATCTGGAGAGCTGTATTAAAGCTCAGATCTCAGGTTCATTTCGATCAGCCAGCCGTGAACTCTGGGCCGAATTCATTACACTTTAATAGTGCTGGGAGAGGGAGAAAATGCAATTTCTCATTCCATTAGAAAACTAGAAAATACTCTCAGCTTGTCCCCTATTAAGATGTGGCAGGTGACGGGACCATTGTGGGGGACACGGTCAATGGAATTACAGCACATTATTTTTGTTCGTATAAAATATTGAAAGGCAAGCCTGACTGTGCAGAAGTTATTTCACTGATTTGGTTTTTATGTAAATAAAATATTGAAAGTTAATTAATCCGTGCTAGAGACTAATGATTATGCTTATTATATTGCATTTGATCGCGTAATTTGCATGATTCTCGCATTGCTGCTTAATAAGCCATTCCAGGTTATAAATAATTCTGAAATTGGTTTCTAATAATGGCATGCTATAAAAAGAATGGTTTTATTACACCAGCCTGAAAAGCAGAGCAATATCAGACGTGGAATTGGACTCTCGTTTAAGCACCAGCCGCTCTAATAATTATTTAAATGTATCATATACATTAAATACAGATCTAGGACGAGGGAAGAGGTAATTTATCCTGGCATCCAAAACCCTTAAAAACATATACAGCCGCTATAAATTAACTATTTATATCACTTCTTAATCAATGAGGAGCCCTTGCGCTGCAAGGAACGTGTGGGCAATCTGTTAACTATAAAGAAAACTATAAAGTACTTGTAGAAGAGCATAAACCAATTACTATTTAATTTGAATTTGGTCAAGGAGCGGTGGTACAGCAGATTGTGAAGTAAATACATTTTACATAAATTATTTTGCACTAGATTACATAATGTTAATCATCTTGAAGTGTTAATTAAGAAGGTTGTGTTGATCTGATTACTTTTTAAACTACAGAACATTATTGTAAAAAATATTTAAATTGCCACCCTATTAAACTGTTTTTATCAGCAGCCTCGAGCTATTATCATTGGTTTAAGATTATGCTGAGGCCATTAAAACACTTTGTCTTTCTTTCTACGGATTTCTTTGATGTGCTGTTAGAAAATAACTATTTCCATTTTATATTTTACTTCATTTACCACACTCCTAATATTGAAATTGGTATCATTAACCTTTGGGAAACCCAATAAAGTTTAATAGACCTCGTTTTCTTTTTTCATAGAGTCAGTTGTCCAATTATATTTTATTTGTGAATCTAATTTCTTTCTTAATTTAAACTAATTACAGTCCCGCGTAGGCCGGGTCAAATTGTTTTACTTTCTAGAAGCAGACGAGCATTTTCTGTCACATTCGGGAGCGGGGACGGTTTCTGTCGAGTGGTTTCTGCTGCGTGCCTTTATTTGGCAGAGGAGCCGGGGCTCGCCGACGGGAATTTTGAGAGCCGGAGTTCCCGGAACGCTGCCCTGAGCGGGGAGAGCGCATCCCACAGTGAGCGCTCCGCTCCCGAATTGCGCTGCCTCGAGGAGGGCCGGGTGGACATTCGCACAGCCCCGGCCGCGGAGCGCACGGCGAAGATCCGTCTCTCCCTTCTCCGAACTCCTCTCATTCGCTTTCAGTGCTTTCTTACGTGCCTACGTGCAACGGGGTGTCTGTGCGTGTGCGTATCTGCGCGCACTTTAGGCGACAGAGAAACCGCTCCCTGCGTGTCGAAGTTACTCGCTCCCCCTGCCGACCCCGACATTTGTATCGAGTAAAGCCTATTTCGGATACCTCCGCGTTCATCGGAGCTGCTTTTAGGCGAACGCCTTCCACCCCTCTCTCCGCACCCTCCTTTCAGCACCGCGAACAGCTGCCCGGCGCGGGGGGTGCGGGGACGCCGAGCCGGGCCGATTCCTCCGAGCGCGGAGCCTTCGCCACGGCGGGGCTTCCCCCGCTCGGGCTGCGGCTCCCGCGTCCTCCTTTGAGCTCCAGGAGCCCACGCATGGGCGGTGGGCAGGGGCTGCTCCGCCCGCGTCCCGCTCGGGACCACCGGGGTGCGGGCGTGAAGGGGACGAGGGGACGGCCCTCGGCGCGCCGTCTCCGCCGCCCTCCTGCGGGGACAGCGGAAAGGGGCGGGGAGTGAGAGGGTCTGGCTTAGAGCTTTCTGACCGAATTGTTGCGCTCAGGGACAGTTTCCCCGGCTGAGGTTTGGGGACGTCAACCCTCCGCGGCCGCGCCCTCGAGCCCGGCGCCAGCCGGGGCATCGCCCGCGGCCCCGAGAAAGGGTCTGGCAGGAGCTTGCGCTGCGCGGAGACGGCCGCACATACCTGCACCCGGGACTCGGTGAGGCCGATGCGCAAGGCCAGCTCCTCCCGCATGAAGATGTCCGGGTAGTGGGTCTTGGCGAAGCTCCTCTCCAGCTCGTTGAGCTGCGCCGGCGTGAAGCGGGTTCTGTGCCGCTTCTGCTTCTGCTGGCCCTGCTGCTGTCCCGCCTGGCTGGGGTTCTGGCCGCCCTGCTGGCCTTGCTGCTTGTCGGCGTCTTTGGTGCTGACGGCCAAGGAGCTGGGATTGGATCCCACCGTGGTGATGTCCTCTCCCGGCAGCAGGGTGGTCCCTTCCACCGTGTCCGAGTTGGGGGCCATGTCTCCCGGGTGTCCCCCCGGATCCGAGCCCCCTACGCCCAGCCGGCACTTCACCGCCTCCCGGTGTCCCAGCAGCTCGGCCGCATCTTTCATCCCTGCGGAAGCAACGGAGCCGCGGTCACTGCCCTGCAGCCGGGCGTGCGGCCCCCGCCTCAGCCCCCCTCGCATCCATCGGAGCTGCGAGGAGCAACCGGCCGCACCGGCCCCACCAGTCCCACCTCCCACGGCCCGCGCGGAGCAGAGCCCCCCGGCCCGCCGCAGCTCGGGGAGGGGGAGAGAAAACTTTACGGCGAGCCGCTCCTCTTCCCGCTTAAATAACAGCTCCCCGCCGGGCCTCCCCTAACGCGGTGAAGGGAGGGGAGCGGGGCGTGGGGGAGGGGGGCAAGTTTTGCCGGGCTCGGCTTGGAGTTTTCCCAGCTGATAAAAGAAAGAAAGAGACAGAGAGAAAAGAGAGAAAGAGATGAGGCTGCGGCTGCTCCGCTGCCGGGAGCGCCACCGCCCCGACCGAGGTGCCGGGAGGGGGCCGCCGAGCAGCGTTCCCCTCTCCTCACTCTTCTCCGAAGCAGCGTACGGATAAAGAGCCACAAAGTGGATAAAGAATTTGGGTTGTTTTTTGTCTTTTTTGGTTGGTTGGTTGGTTAGTTTTTTGTTTTGTTTTGTTTGGGTTTTTTGGGTTTTTTTGGTTGGTTGGTTGGTTGTTTTTTGTTTGTTTTTTTTTTTTTTGGTTTTTTGAAGGAAGAAAGGCGAGAAGAACGCGAGCAGGCAAGCAGGAAAAGGCCACCCCCGAACTCCTTCGTAAATACCATCGAGCTGCTCTGTTCTAAAATAGTAATACTCATCATAATCGTAATAACGCACAGGTATGTGTATAAAAAAAACAAGGAAAAAGAGATTAAATGATCCGCAACTCGCTGTGTATCTGCACATTCCGTAGGTCTCCCTCTCTCTCTCCCCCTCTTTTTTTTTTTTAAAGACGATGTTAAATCAAATTAAACTTTAATACAGTACAATTACTTTTAAAGGAATTAGCCCATTTAGATCGCATTAAGGTAAAATAAGGAACAAATTGTCAATTTCCTGCCCCGGCTTCCTCCCCGCTCGCCGCCGCCGGTGCAGCCGCCGCGGGGCGGGGGAGCGCCGGGGAACTCACCGAGACGGGCGTCCAGGAGGTCGGCGTGAGACAGCATCGCGCACCGCTCCAGGGCGAAGGCTGTTCCCCCCCAAATTTTAGCGGCCTTAAGTTATTTAAAATAGATATAAGATATAAGATATAGATATATATAGATCGCCTAAATGAAAGAAAATTCGGTGTGTGGTTAAAAAGGGGGTCTCTTGCATTATAATGTCCTTTAGAGAGACGGGGAGGTGCTTAACACTTCAATGAACCCGTGAGCAGCTCGGCGCGGGGACCAATCAGGAGGGCAGCCTGCAAATGTCAGCGCCCGGAGCGCCCCGCTCCGCCCCCCCCCCCCCCCCCCCCCCCCCCCCCCGGCCTCCCGCCGCCGGCCCGCGCCGCGCCGCCGCTCCCTTCCCCGTTCCGCTCGCCTCCGCGACCGCCCTCCCCCTCTCCCCTTCTCCCTTTTCCTCCAAGCGCACGGTGGCCACCCCTCTCCCAGCTCCGGGTCACCCGTCGTTTATCGGGTTTCACCACCATTCCTTTTCTCCCTCTTCTTATTTTCCGCGCCTTCTCGGAGCGCGCCCTCTGCCCCGAACAGCTCCGGCTCCCCGGGGGCGGCTCCGAGCCCCCCGCGACACTGGGGCCGTTGCGAACTGGCCGCGCACCGGCGGCCGTGCGGCGCCGGCCGGGCGGCGCTGCCCCTCTCGGCCTAGGGGCGGCGGCGGGGTCGACGGCTGAGGCGGGTGGGACGGCGGCTCTCAGGTCAGCCCCGGCGGGAGAGAAAGTCCCGCGAGTGCCCCCCGAGCGGCCCGGCCGAGCTCCGGGTCCCCGCCAGCGCCTTCCCCTCGCTCTCGGCGCGCGTCGCGCCGCATCCCGGGGTAGAAGGGAGCGAGCAGCGGGCGTCCCGGCGGGCGCAGCGCTTCCCTCCCGGCCGGGCGCGGGAGCCCCCGAGCCCGGATTTCTCCTTTAAAGTTTCCAAGTTGGGCTCGCCTGCAAACTCAATTTAAAGCAGTAAATAAAGTTAAATGCTTTTTATTTTCCTCTTGAATATGTTAAACTACTTGAACAATTTAAAGTGCTTTGCACAAGTGAAGCGAACCATTTCTAATGTTCTGATTTTTCAAAGCCAGCCAACAACAAAGTTTAGATTAGTAATATATTTCTAACCAGAGTAATTTTCAAGATCATTAGGCATTTATGTAATTAGTGCCAAATCTATAAGCTTTTATTACGATTATTAGAGTAAAATCAGTATAAATTTGTACTAATTTACTACTGTTTAGACTTGGCTGTCAAGCCAAGAGGTTCTTATTGTAAATGATAACTGAGGAAATTAAGTGCAAAATTCTGTACCATTTCTGATCCGCTCCTAAACAATCCGTTTCAATTGTATTTGTAGCAGAACATAATGCCCTTTTAAAGTTATTTGACTTGTATTTTTATTTGCAAAACAAGAAAAATACCCTTTACCCAGGCACAATGAAAACTGATATTTACTACTTCCAACTTGATTAACATTGATTTTTAATTCAGAAGTGATGCAATTAAGATTATTCATTTAGTGTAAATAAAGCTTCCACCAAAAAAGGAGCCCAATGAAGTCTGTGTTAAATAATATAGCGCCAGTGGCCTTTTTCCCCTCAGTCCGATTGACTTACACAAAACATTGTAAATACTGCACGCGAACAGATGCAAGAGTGGTTTTGTTTGCGGCTCAGATGTGCGGGGTTTCGGCAGCGACTGAACAAGGAGACAAAGGAACCGGCCGACCGATCTCTAGGGCAGTTTTGCTGTCTTTTTTTTTTTTTTTTTTTTTTTTTTTTTTTTCCCCTTTCCCTCCCTCCTCCCCGCTCAAATCTTTGGCTACGTTGATTCAATTCAGCTTTCGAGATGTCGGGCTGTTGCAATGAACCTGAGCGCCCGGTAACGGCAGCTGAGAGCAGGGAGAGACCCGGAGCCGGGCCACAATTTAGATGGAGAGACACAGAGAGAAAGAGATAGAGGTGGGGTGGGAGTTTCTGGATTTTTTGTTTTATTTTGCTTTATTCCTCTTTTTTCTT